GGAAAAGGAGCAAAAGCGCCCCCTTGTGGACGGAGCTGCCGCTTGCAGCGCTTCCCAGCCGTTGCAACCTGTAACGGAGGCAGGTGAGACGCCTAGCCCGTCTTGTCCACCAGATGGAGCCAGAGAGGAACTTTCTCAGCCGCAGCTGCCGGTGATGGAGCCCGCTGAGCCTTCGTCCCTTCCTCCTGCTTCAACTCCGCTCCCGCCAGAAAGTCCTTCGGAGGAGCCGGCTGCTAAGAGGGCAAAGCCTGCCACCCCGGAGGCTGCCGACCCTCCTGCAGCGGCCGGACTCTGTCCAAAGAAGGCCCAGGAGCCTGGCATGCAAAACAAACAGCCGGCGGTCTCTGCAGCCTCCGACAGCGCCTTACGCCAGGGGCAGGCTACTGCACCCGATGCACCAATCCACCCTTCTACTGCCTCTTCCATGGACATCCTGAAATCCCTCTCGGTTGTTGATGGACCTGAAGACTTGCCACTCTCTGGGGACATAGGAGAGACTCCAGACCCCCTTAGCTGCAGACGTCTCTTCAGCCCTCTCTTGTTTAAGAAGCTTCTCCAGAAAGCCGGGATAGGAGCAGATCCAGCCGCTTCTAATCCGGCCTTATCTGACCCCAAATTTTTATTGTTCGCAGAGCGACCCCAAATTAGAGAGGAGATCCCCTCCCCGAAATTTTTCCTGGATGTCTTCCAGCAAGAATGGCAAAAACCAAACTGTTTTACAAACCCGGACGTAAATCATAAACGATACTACAATGTGGACAAGGACCTCACTGATTCATTAAAAATCCCAACAGTTGATGGGCCTGTGGCAGCTTTAGTCTCTTCCACCGTTCTCCCCACCTCAGTTGAGGATCATTTGACTACAGAAGAGAAGAGAATGGAAATGATGCTCCGTAAAGTCAATTCGTCGGCTGCCTGGGCGGTGAAGTCAGCAGTGGCTGCATCCTTCTTCAATAGAACGTCCTTGCTCTGGCTCAAAGAGATGCAAGCCAGAATCCCAGCCACCGACCTCCAGACTCATGAGCACCTCAACAAACTGATAGCGGCAGCACAATTCTCTGCCGATGCCACCCTGAGCTCAGCCACTTACGCTTCCAGGGCCATCGGCAACTCCGTGACAGTCCGACGACTGTTGTGGCTCCGTTACTGGCAGACAGACAATAGGTCCAAGTGGAGGTTGGCCTCTGCCCCCTTCAAAGGAGACAAGCTATTCGGAGAGGCCTTAGAGCCTTTACTCAAGGAGACCCATGACAAAAAGAAAGTCCTACCCTCTACGTTCAAAAGGGCTGGCCACAAATCCTCGTCCAACGTTCAGAAGCCTTCCTTCAGAGGAGGGAACAACACACACAACTCCTCACAACTAAAGAGGTCATACTTCCAGCGACCTAATCGACAATCTGATAGGGCCGGATATATAGACAGGAGCAGGCAGCAGTTCCAATCCAAACAGCCATTTCAAGACAACAGAAGTCGGCTCTCCCATGACTCTTCCAGAGGTCTGCGTAGCCAACACTCCGAGATCCAACCCTCCAGAGGACAAGCAGCAGCTGGGGATTGTAGTCCCAAAAGATTCAAAGAGATGAAGAGCGATTCTCGAGTTAAAAAGACTCAACAAGCATCTGGTATACAAGAGATTAAAAATCCAGTCCATACTGGACAG